AAAATTTTTTAAAACTAAAATTAAAAATAAAAAACCACAATCATATTAAATAGAGCCTAACATTTTTGTTCAATAAAAAACAAAATAGATACATAGAGTGAGAGGTTACTTGTGGTATTGACGATGGCTATTAGAATGTTGCAGACGAGCGTTGGTGAAGCCACGGAAACCAAGTTTAGAGAGATAGAGCTACGGATCAAAGGAGGGATGCATTGCCTCACACTCCTTAGCTTGCCTTACATGGGGGACGCCTGAATTTGTTGGGAAATCTTCCAATTTATGCAGAAAAGTCTTCCACAACACAAATGGAAGCTTGCATCATTCAAAATATTAAGCCAAACAGGGCACTCTATACTTTATCCTCCACATAAAATGATGGTTAAATATCAATTTTAATCCCTTAACTTTAGGGTTTTGTACAGTTTTCATCATTTAACTATTTTATACACTATTTTGGTCACTCAACTAAAAAAAAATGTATTTTCTTTTTGTCATTCTATTAGTTAGTCCATTAAGTCCATACATATATGCACATTATTATTATTTTTTTATTTTGGTTGCATAATAAGAGGCAACAATCTTCCATCCTTTATCTCTCTCTACTTGTATGCCATGCACTTTAAATTCAAAATTTCTTATTTTTAGTGAAAGAAAGTTACTACAAAATTACTTAGATTGTTGGCCATATATGCAGATTTTTAACACTTGAACTTATAAGTTTAGGAACTAAAAATATGTATATATGTATAAGCTTAATGGACTAACTAACTTAATGAATTAATTAACAAAAGGATAAAAAAAAAGTGCATTTTTTAGAGTTAAAAGATTATAAAAGTGTATAAAATAATTAAGAGATAAAAACCATACAAAACCTTGAAGTTGAAAAACCAAATTGACATTTGACAAAAATTATAGATGTCTCTCACCCATGAGACACAGCGCTCTTGACTTCCAAGTCTCCCTTGTTCTTGACCATAATTCATTTGATCTTAATGAAATTTGAGTGATAACTATTACATATCTAGATATTAATTTTGATACATTGTTTTCTCTTAGTAATAAAGATAGAAGAGAATTATGCGTGAAAGTACATATTTAAATTTATTTTTTTGTGAGTGTAAACAATTTCAAGAAACAGTATCACCACCAAAAATATATTAATAATAATTTTTATTCATAATCATAATCCTACACAGAAGTCTCTATCTCTTTAGACCCGTCAATCATGGGGCACTTGAGATCTTGAAATTTTAGATTATCCGTGTACGGTGTGTTATGTGGAAAATTGGTCCGCATTTAATTGTTGTGATCCTAAAGTCACAGTCAGGCAGTAATTGATTTTGGAGTTTTTAGTTGCTAGCGGCCAAGACTACTTGGCCACTCCGGCTGCTTGACCTGTCCGTCCGGCGAAAATCGCACATTGTGTGATCAACCGGTGGGGAAATTTTAAAGTCTGAAGTCATTTCAAAGCATATGGATATTTCCAAAATATTACGGAAATTGCGATTACATATTTATTTGAGGTCCCTTTCAACTGCAAAACATAATAATTGAATGAAACAGCTCTCAATATTAAAGATTTATTTATTATTTAATTATTTATATTGTGTAATTTAAATTAATTTTTATGTTTATATTAGGTTTTTTTAACTTGTGTTATAGTGCATTTATTGTATATGTTATCATTAATTTATATAAAAAATTAAAAAAATAAAATTTAATTTTAACACCAATATTATATGAAATATTTTAATTA